TATCCTTTTTCTGGTCCAAGATCCCGTCAAGGACTCCACATTGCATGCAGTTCTCTTGACTCCTTAGTCCTCTTCAGTCTGTGATAATGACTTTCTTTGTAGATTGTCTTCCATGGCCAGTTGTAGGATGTTCCTCAATTTGTCTGATGTTATCTCATGATTTAGTTGAGGTTCTGCATTTTCAGCAAGAATAACACAGAAGGTGCTGTGCCCTTCTCAGTGTATCATATCAGGGGTATATAATGTCTATATGAATTATCACTGGTGATGTTGACCTTGATCACTTGGTTAAGGTCATCTGTTCTAGGCTTCTTCACCATAAAGTTACTATTTTTTCCTTTGTGGTTAATAAGTATGTTGTGGCAAGATAACTTTGAGACTATGCAAACAATCTATTTCTCATACTTTTATCTACTAATTTTAGCTCCCTTTGATGATTCTTGCCTGCAATAATTACTACTGTGGTGTAATTCAAGTGGTGATTTTTTACTTTCATCATTCCATCTACATTTATTAATTGGAATTCTACTGTAGGAAATAGCTCTTGCCTTCCCCATTTATTTAATTTTCTGTTATATATTTATGTCAGTATGATCTCATGAGAATTTATTCTATGGGTTATAATCCATTACTAACACTATTTCTTTTGTATTTCAAATTGTCCCACATTTGGCTTTTGGTAGTCCCCTCAAGTTGGCTCCCATGTCCATTTGACATTCTCCCAAAGTTTTTTGAGAACTTCCCACTTTCCTTGCAATACAATATTATTTCAGGCTCATCTTGTATTTTATGTGCCCTAGTCTTGGAATCAGCTATTTTCCAATGAGTTCTGCTTTCTTTTATAAGAGAAACCAAGACCTGGGCACTAGATACTGAGGTGTCACTACTTGCAAGCCCTCTCAGAGGCAGAGCTAGGAAATATATTTCTATACACTCATATCTATTTCCATATATAGCTGTATATCTATATCTATCTATTTATCTATCTATCAATCAATCTAAAATCCCAAGTGCAGAGTGATACCTCCAATTCTAGTCGAACACCACAGGGGTCAATTCTTTCTTCCATCTTTCCTTACTTGTAACTTCTTTCTCCAAGAGTGAGAAGCCCTTCTCTCAATATCCACAACATATTTACTTACTTGCTTAACACTTAAAGTAGCTTTGGAATTGCTAACCCAGATCCCCATGGGGAAAGTAATAACCAGAAAACACTTTTTATCTATGGTTCTTTTTTAGTCAAGGTAAAATTCATATAATATAAAATTATCCATTTTAAAGTGTATGTACAGTTCTTTTTGTCTTTAGCTTTGTACTAAGTAGTCAAAATTCTTCCTTTCCAAGTTACTTCAATTAATTTTTCAGTATAGTTATATCTTTTTCATTTTTAATTCAGTTAGATCCATTTGGAATTGTTTGTAATTTATTTTAGTTTAACCCACATCCTGGTTAATCTTAATTATTTATTTGTGACTATGTGAGATATTACCATGGTTCTAAGAGTCAGATTTATACTCAAAGGTATACTCAGGCAAGTGTCACTCCTCATTCCTACTACCCCATTTCCATTATTCTTACTCACTCCCTATAGATAACCAATCTCATCAGCTTCTAGTTTATTCTCTTTCTCTCTTGTGACATATCTATCTATCATCTATCATCTATCTATCTATCTATCACCTATCTATCATCTATCTATTTCTCTATTATCTATCTATCTATCTATCTATCTATCTATCTATCTATCTATCTATCTATCTATCATCTATCTAAATAAAATCACAAGAGTTACAGTTAGGATGATATAATGTATATATCACAATGAGCTGATACATAGATGTTTTTGTATACAGTATTGCCTTCTTTCTTACACAAAATGTAGCATCGTATAAATACCCTCATGTGCTTTGCTCTTTTTTCTCACTTAGCAGTATATCCCACAAATCCATGTCAGTTCATAGAAATCTTCCTCATTCACATAGAGAGTTGCATCTATTGTATGAATGTACCAGTCTATTCAGCCACTCTGCCGTGTATGAGCATTTAGGTTGTTTCCAGTATTTGTAGTTGCAAAGAATGCTACAATTAACTAACTTTGGTGCACTGACTTTACAAGAGGGGCTAGCACAGGATCTGAAGGCAGACGTGTCTGCTTACAGAGCCGCTGCTCTCTCTGTACTGCCACACTGACTCTGTAGTCATAGCCCAGGCCTGAAACTATGCCCTGGTAACCCTAATGGATAGGTTGCTCCTTGTCCTTGTCTACTTCTACAAAGAGCTCCAATGGGTGGGACACTTGAACGGGTTGCCCAGTTGCCCTTTTCTGACTAATTTCTCTAAGTTGCCTTCTTGGAGGGTTATTAAATTTGCAGGTTGGGGTCCCTGCCTGGGAATTGACCCTCTTACACAGCCCACAACTACAACCATTCTCAAACAATGCCATAAAGAGCTGTGGGCAGACCAGACTATACTTGTGTGCATGTAAGCAGATATGCCAATACATGTGGGCAATAGGCCCAGAGTGGGCAGAGAAATCACATTACCACCAATAGCCAGTGGACTTTAAATGGGTCAATCTAATTTCCACATTTCTCTGCAATACTGAGTACAGATTGACTTCCCAAGGCCCCCAACACTACCTGACTGAGAAGGATTCCCTTTTGAGCCTGGTGGAGGGCTGGGTTGTGGAGGTGAGTGTAGTGACCAATCAGCTACCATTCATGATCAACCTAGAGTCTAGATAGCAGGAAGGAAGAAAAATGGCCCCAGTTAGGCTGTCCTAGCAATTTGCAACATCCTGGGGATTCCTATGGGCTTGGCTGGTAGTGGCTTGGAGCAAGGATCTGGATCCTTCTGGAGAGGCTGCAGTACTACTTTGGCTGTGTGAAGAGTTTTCTGCCAGGAGGCCTTCTGCTCTTTTCCTACATTTGCCTTCAAATACAGAATACCTACATATGCCAGGCCCTTGAGAGACATTGTATTATTTAAACAGGACAATAACTTCACAAGGGCGAAATTTTTTCTCTCTATTTTTTGGATAAAGAAAGTGAGGCTCAGAGAGTTTAAGCAACTTACCCAAGGGTACACAGTAACTAGCAGAATCATGATTTGAATCTAAGTATATCTGCTTCCAGAGCTCCAGATCTTTCCCCAGACTCCACCCTCCCAAATCCAACAAATTATTTATCATAACTCTAGGGGAAATGTTCAGGCTCATGGAATCACTTAAAGACAGAAGTCAGATGCTATAGGGGAGGACTGGGAAAGCAGGAGACCTAAAAATTGTTGCTTTGAGCAAATTATTTGAACCAATTTCTTCATTTGAAAAGTAGAATTTACCTGCAGAGTTGTGGTTATGCCCACATGGTAGCTACACCAGATGGGGTGTGTTCTCATAAGTTAGTTCCTTTGCCAAGAGAATTGTTAAATATTTTATACATCACCTCTGGTCCCACACCTACTCCCCTTGGTTGTGAAGGTCAAGTAAGACCTCAGTAAACCTGAAGAACACTCTACTCTGATGTTAACAAGAATTAGTATTCTCAGGGACTCAGGACTTACTTCATAGTCATGTAATGTATGCAGTCCTACAGGGCTTGTGCTTAGTTTAATGTCCTGCTGTCCCCATCTTGCAATTCTTAATGACAGGAAACCCCCATATTTTCATATTGCATTGGATTCCACAAATTATGTAGTCAGTCCTGAGGACAAAACAAAGGCAGTGGCTGGTAAAATTCAGGAAAATATTCTAATGTGTCCAATCTGATACCAGAGGACTAAAAATATATCACAATCATTTTTTTTCTGGCTGAAGTTCTTTGAGTGTTGACTTACCTGCCTTCTGACTGTTGAGAGAAAAGAGTTGCTCTTGAGGAAGTGTCTGTGTCCTGTACAGTGTAGGACAACAGTAAGTTCACATTTGTTCACATGTAATACATACAATACAATACAATGTTTTGTATTGTATATAATTTGGATTGAATATAATACAATGTTTAATAAATAATAATATAAGAATAAACTCCATGTTTTGCATACTCACAACTGTAAACATACTTTTGCCCCATCCTGTACATGGTCAGCATGGTGCGTTAGTCCATTTGGGCTATTATAACAATATGTGATAGACTGGGTGGTTTATAAGCAACACACATTTATTTCACATTTATTTCTCACAGTTCTGTAAGCTGGCAGTCCAAGGCCAAGGCACTGGCAGATGCAGAGCCTTGTGAAGGCCAACTTCCTGGTTCATAGCCTGTACCATCCCCATGTGTCCTCATAGCGAAGAAAGGGCCAGGGAGCTTTCTGGGGTTTCTTTTAACAGGACGTGAATCCCATTCATGAGGGTTCCACCATCAGGATCTAATCACCTCACAAAAGCCTCACCACCTAATACTCTCACCTTAAGGGTTCAGATTTCAATATATGAATTTTAAGGAGACATGAACATTCAGTCTATAGCACATGGTGCGTGAAAAACAGTAAGCAAAAACATCTGAAGAACACAAACATTGTCTTCAGAAAGAACAGCTTCCCAGCACCTGCTCTGTGGCTAGCCCTGTGCTAGTTGCTATGAGAATACACAGCTACCCCCACCATCCTCAGAAGTCTTCCAGCTTGATGGAAAGGTAGGACACAGAGCTCTCTGGATTTCTCTTTGGGATTAGCTTCAAATGGGGCACAGACCTGTGGTTCAGGGGTACAAATATGCGATTCAGAAAGGGCCTGTGGGAGCTTGTGCTGTCAGAAAAAGCTTCTGGTCAAGGTGAGACATCCAGCAGTGTCTTAAATGATGCAGAAGAGGAACGGAACCAGCCAAGCCTTAGCTCTGGGTATAGACGCTAACATACTCCTTCATGTTGGGTCTGACTTTTGAATCCATCACAACAGACTGGAGTTAGGGGTACTGCAGGCTGGGTTCTCTGGAAGCAGACACTCAGATGAAGTTCATAGTGTGTATTCATCTCTTGAGCTGCAGTAACAAATTACTACAAAGTGGGTGGTCTGAAGCAATAGGCTTTTATTCTGTCACAGTTCTGAAGGCCAGAAGTCTAAGATCAGTTTCACTGGGCTGAAAGTAAGGTGTTGGAAAGGGTTATAAATCCTTATCATTCTGACCAGGCTAGAAGGCAACTGTCTCAGACTCTCAGCCTGCCTGACCCTGCCCTTCCAGAAGCTTGGCCTGTCACCTTCACTGTCATGGCTGCCCCAGGGATAGTGCCTGGAGCAGTCAAAGGCAAACCCCTCAAGCAACTTATTTGCCATAAAATAGGACTTTTGTTGGCCCAACTTTAAATGTGAGTGAAAGGACCAGAATTAGGTAGGCCAGGGTAAGAAGCAGAGGCTGAAGGGGAATGCAAGAAAAGCATGGATTGGTAGCAAGGGTTCTGAACTATCCCAGCAAGTCACTCTTCATCCCTGGGCCTCTGTTTCTATGTCTGCACTGTGAAGCCTGTTAAGCCAGGCCTTCTAACCTAAAGGTGGTTATTCAGAGGTAGAAAAGAGAGGTTAACTAAGAAGTCCTTGTGGGGGACAGGGCTGGCAGGGAGGCTGGGCAAAGGTTCAAAGAGCTCACCACTAATGTCTGTGGGGCCAGGGCAAAAACATATGTGGAGGCCCACATACCACACGGCTAAATATTTAAAAGCCACAAAGCAAACTAACAAACACTTGGTAAAATATGTTTTGTTGCTGACCTTGAAAAAAATTCTATAATAACCTGTAAGGTCAAGTTTCAATGAAAATTCTCAGACTCCTTAGAGTCCTACATTGGAGGCTACAAAGTGGAGAAAGCTGGCCTGGGTCCAGCTATGGCTACAATGAGAATGGTCTGCTTACAGACCTCTTGTTCCAGGGAATGGAACTGGCTAGGTGCCCTGTACTGAGCTTCAAAATACATCTTTGTGGTTGGGCTGATGCCATGCTTTCCCTGGGCTGTTCCCTGCAGCAGAGGCATAAGGGATGCCCATTATTGGATACTTGTTGCTCATCTAATGGCTAGCTTTGGCTCAAGGACACCCTGACAACCTTGCCAAAGCTTCCTTCCATTGTGTAAAGCAGTCTAGAATACTCCTACTCAACCTTCGGGCTCAGACTTGCAATCTGGCCTGCTGGCTCTTCCAGCTGTTTCTGAGTCCCTCCTTCTTTCCTTCCACACAAGCACCTTCCTTAATACAATCCTTGACTGTTTTATCCTGTCTTGATACTTGCTTCTCAGAGGATCTGGATAAACACACTGACCTCCAGCCCATCCCCCACTTCTTACCTCTGGCTCTTTCCCACACCATGATGTGCTTTACTTGTACCTGTATGAGGCCCCAGACATCCAGGGTGTGTCCTTATCCATATGTGCCTTTGGCCTGCGGTCTTCTTATCCTGGCATGGTGTGGGGAGTGTGACAGAGGTAGCTAGCTCAGAGGTAGAGGGAGCAGGAAAGGGCCCCTTTTGTCTGAGTCTAACCTAACGTGCTACTGGCCAGGGGCCTCACCCCTCACGCCAGCCTCTTGACCTCCACTGTTCTGCCTCATTCATCCTGCCTGTGTATACTTCTGAACATACCTTATAACCACCTGGGCTAAAAGTAGGAAGCATATTTCCCTGGCCCTTTACATCTCTGTCTTCTTTCACTAATTCGAGACTCTGGTGGAGAACAGAGGAAACAGAGGCTCAGAGGTTGAGTGAGTGTCCACACTTGGATCTTCTGATGCCCACCTCTGGCTCTTTTGTGATGTTCCAGCTAGTGGAGACAATGACACTGTGTCACACAACTGCCCTCCAGTCACTGGAGTGTTCCTTATTCCCTGGGAAATTAATGTGCATTTCTGCTAATGTCTAAAACATCTGCTTCTTTCAACTTTGCAACAACCCAGCTGGGAAATGGAGAGCCAAGGATGTCGTCCCTGGAGGCCAGCCAGGCTCCAGCCCATTAGAACTTATCATTATACTTGCAGTCTGGATAGCGGTAGGCAAATCTGGGATCACAGGTTCTCAGGGGTCTCAAGATGTCCTTCAGCTGGCTGGCAGCCCCTAGAACTTCAGGGTCTGGGTGGGTACTCTCTCCACACTTAGCCAGAAGGACATCTATCTGCTCCTGCACTGGAGAGGGGAACTTTCCCTGGAGAAGTTGAGGCAGCACCTGCTGACACACCAGCACCAGGCTCTGCTTCTCAGGGATGGTATCACAGGAGGGCAGCTCGGTGTTGCAGCCAGTAACCAGGCAGCTAAAGATGTCTTTATTCTCTCCTGCCCTAGTGGCTGCTTGGCAGTCTGGAAGAGAAACAGGAAATGTTATACACCCTACAACCTGCTCTCCTTGGGGGAGGTGCCATTAATTACAATCGCTGGGTGAAGTGGTTTAGTCTCCTAGCATCTCCTGTCAGCAGGAGATTTAGGGCTCTAGAACACAATGGCCCCTGCTGAGAACAACATGGGAGGAACTGCTATAGTAGGTTGATGCCCGGGCATGGAAAACACACTTATCCCTACCAGAAGTTGGGCTTACAACTATAGGGCTCACCTCTGTATTGTGATTCTCCCATTCTTACTACTGAATTAGGGAACTCAGGAAATTACTAGAACCAGTATCATTTGCCCTTTAAAAATACAAAGTTGGTAGAAAGAACAGGTAATTCAGAATATGCATCCAATGGATTGTAGTGGGACTGATATTCAGTGGTTTACATATCCCAAATATTCTGAAATCAGCCATATTTCTTCTAATAAAGGCAAACAAGGAAATGAGTAAGTGTGGTTTAATTGGTCTATTTTGGTAGGCTTTCTCATATAAAAAACCCTCTGTCCTATTATTTGGTGCATAACATTTGGTCACCATTAGAGACTGGGATACTCAAAGGGCTCCAGAAACCCTGATGAGTCTATACACACTGTGAAAACCATGATTCACTTGTATACCTCATGTGGTACCATGCTATTTAATTGGAAACTTTATAAAAAGCAAAGGTGCCAAAATGTTGTAAAATATACAAGTGAATCAGCCAGATAATTTTCAGGCAAAGCCTAAAAGCATCTGATGAGAAAAGCACTGAAAGGGAGCTAGAACCATGATCAGTGTGTGTGTGAGGAAGGGCAGGACAGGTCCATGGACCACAGAGACCAAACTGGACAACAGTATTGCCCTTGGGGCCATGCCATGATGCAAAGTGCCTCCCCCCACCCCGGACAAGATCAAGGCCAATTCCCCTTTGGAGATAGAGTTGGCAGCGTGAATTCTAAAAGGGGAGAGGGACATTTAATCTGAACTTGGGCTGCTCTCTCTATGACATACAGAGGCTGGAAAGGCCTAACGGTGCTATCCCTGGGCACCCTTTCAAGCTCCTGTCACTTTGACTTCCCTTTTGACAACTGCTCAGCCATCCCATGCTGAGTACCTTCCTGCTTGTCGATGACACCCAGGGCACTAGCATCCCGGATGAACAGATGCCCATTGTTAAAGATACCAAACATGGTGGCATCCACATGGGTGAAGTAGAGGAAGTAATTCAAATCGTTGCTCCTCAGAGACTCCAGGACCCTGAGGAGCTGGTAGGCCAGGTCGGCTGCCTGGTCTGGGGGTGCACCATAGAATTCCTGCAGTAGGTTGGTGCTGGTGCTGACCAGGAATCGTCCACAGGACCCCAGGTACTTGGGCAGTGGCCATCCTTCGGCTCCAGGGAAGATCTGCCAAGCCAAGGGGAGGAGGAGGCATTAGATTAGAGAAAAAAAATCACAAACACAGTGTTCTCTCTCTCTCTCTTTCTCTGCCGCTGCCTCTCAGTCTCTTGGAATGAAGCAACACTGGCATCCCATTCCTCCCCTCTTTCTTTACTTGTTTTAGATGAATAGATTCAAAAAAGGAAGCTCTTATTTCTATGTGCTGGATTGCATTTTAACAGTGTCTCCAAGTGAGATATAAGAATGTAAGCTATGAAAATGCTAAGGCACTTGCCAGGATTTTAGATGGTATTCAGATTCAAGGGAATATGTTTATTTTTAAGAGGTGTATAATTGAAAAAATATGATTACTATGTGAGATTTCACAAATATCACTGCTTAGGAAGAGGCCATGGGGGTGGTGGAAAGAGGGTCAAGTTAGAGATGATTTAGAGAAAAATATTTTTAAAAATAACAGTGCATGTGGAGGGTAGGGTGGAGATGGGAGAGGGAATGGGGGGATAAATGGTAAGGGAAAATAAAAAATAAATAAAATTTTAAAAAATTAAAAAAATAATAGTGCAAACCCCATGTTCTATGCAAACACCAAGGTCTGTGGTAGGCCAAAAATCAAGAAGCCTCCCCTTGGGAGAAACCAGTTTTGGGAACCACTGAACTGGCCCAGAGTCCCTTTGTACTTCCCTGTCTTGTTGACAAGTATATCCCCAGACTCTAGTGTTCATCATTCCCCTATTGATGGACATTTAGATTACTTCCATTTTTTTTCTCCTTTCCAACTGTATGTACCTACAGGGCACTCTTCCTGGGGGGTCATTCTTTGGCTATTTCCCCACCTCCTGGGCTTGCTCAAATCTTACTGATCAGAGTTGCTGTCCTTCACAGAACCCTTTGGGGCTACCTCATACAGTGAAGGTGCCTGTTATACCCCTACCTACCTCAACTCCCACACTGCTTTTCTTTACAGCAACTATAGCAGTTTCTCCCTGTAGAAGCCAATGAACCGAATGCCACAAAGGTACTAGCATGGGCTGGTTGCCCCATATCATGCAATAAAGAGGGAGAGAGCTCAACTCAGGGTTGTCCCCCTAGGAGTCTGATGTAAACCTCTTTCCTGGAGTGGCTTTATAGGGTTGCTATGTACCTGTAGGAGGATGGGATGCGTGTTGACAGCCAACGTGTAGAGCAGGCGCAACTTGTCACGGTCCGTGAAGTGGTCCATGAAGATGCTACCGGCATCAGCCACCTCAGCATAGCGCCGAACCACACGGTCCAGAAGTCGCTGTGAGGGGCAGCGTAAGAGGGGGCTAGGCAGGCCCTGTGGGGAGGTGGATGAGAGCGACTCTGAAGGTTGCCGAATGCTTGTGGGAGGTCACAGCAGGCCAGGGCACTGGAAGGCCCTGTTTGTTGGGGATACCTTAGGGTTGGGGGACTAAGTGGACCCTGGGAGGAGAGAGACCCCAAGAAGGTGGAGGGAGTGGGGAGTGGGCTGAGTGCTCCTAGGGGTTGGCACAGGAGGACGAAGAAGAAGACCCCTGGGGTGGGGAGTAGGGCAGGAAGAGGCCCAGTAGGCTACACAGGAGGGGGTAAGGAAGCCCCTGGAGTGGAGGAAAGGGGCCAGAGCTATCTTGGAGGCAAGGGACCCCCTACAGGCCGTCAGCAGGCAGTCTAAACCATGGAGCTCTGGTCTGCATTCTCATCCACCATGGTGCCCCACCCTGCCCTTCCACAAAGAGCTGATCTCAGGCTGAATTATGAGATCAGGCCTCTGCAATTGGCCTTTTTAATTCCCTCTACCATTTCACTAGGATGTCACCACAGTTATGATGTTGCACACTAGCATCTTATGTATGCCACTTTGTTCTTGGAATAAAATTGGGATATGGGCCTAGGCTTATTTCCTATGACTTTCTAACCATCTCCTACACCTTTCTCCTCAGGCTGAACAAAGACAATGAGCCTACTAATAAAAGTAAAGAATCATTTCATAACAGGGCCCTGGGGCCCAGTCTGCGACAATTAACCCTGGCTCCACATATACCAGCTAGCTGTGTGACCTTGCACAAGTAACTTAGTCTCTCTGTACTTCAGGTTCCATTCTAAAATGAGGTGCCAGTAATAACACACTAAGAGGTCATAGGGATCAAATAAATTAATAGATGTAAAATGCTGAAACAGGGTCAGGTGAGCAGTAAACACTCAATAATACTATCTGTTCTTATTAAATTAAAAAGTTAAACTCTCAGCACAGACAACAGTGGTGATAGGCAATGATACCAATGACAGAAAAAGTCAGACTTTGTGAGTGAGAACAGGGTGTTCAAGTTCCAAGAGCCTGGCTTTGAAGATCACAAACCACACCTGAAAATCCCAGGGCAGAACATGTGTTCACAATGTGTCTATAGACAGTGTTTTCAGGTGGCCTGCCTAGGGGAGGCTCTAGCTGAGTGAGCCATTGGGACAGGCAGCTAGAGGCAGTCCCCAGAGCCCTGGGAACTGCAGTATGGGGCAAGGACAGCAATGTGGAGCCCTTGATCTGCCCAGTGGGAACCCAGGAGGGTGGAAAGACTTCAGGGGACCTAGAGGTCAGAGCCTGGAGTTTGGAGAAGGCTAGAACAGGCCAACAGAGTAAGTTGTCCAACCATCCTGCTTGCTTGGGACTGAAAGTTTCCTGGGACACAAAACTTTCAGTACTAAAACTGAGAAACCAAGATGGTTTATCACGCTACCACAGTGCCACAGCCTGATCATGGCCTTGGGCAGCATAAGCTCCTACCCCCAGATGAGGGCCAGTAAAGACTGGTAGAGGCCAGTGTGGATGCCTGTTAATTTACTACAACCTGGGCACTTAACAGGGGCCTTCTGTGCAGGGTGGTATTAAGAGTAATTGTCACATTTCTTCACCACAATCCCTAACAGTCTTTAAAACAGTCAACACAATTTAGTGGGTTTGTCACTATATGGTCAGTTGTACATGTCAACTTGGCTAGGCTATGGTGCCCAGTTATTCAATCAAACACTAATCTAGATGTTGCTGTGAAGATATTTTGTAAATATGGTTAACATCTCCAGTCAGTTAACTTTTAGCAGATGAAATACTTCTTGATAATGTGGGTGGGCCTGTCCCAAACAGTTTAAAGGCCTTACAAGCAAAAGTAAGGCTTCCCTGAGGAGGAAGGAATTCCATCTCTGGACTGTAGTGTGAGCTCCTGCCCAAGGGTCTCCAGCCCACTGGATTTGAGATTTTTCAACCCCCACAATCACATAAGCCAACTTCTTGAAATAAACCTGATTTACATATACATAAAATTATATATTATACTATATATAATAATTTTCTATGTAAACTTTTATATTAATTAATTGATCACATGTCAATTGAATATGAATTAATAATGTTTTATATTTGCATAATATATTATCATTATAATTATAGATTATATCTCTATAATACACACACAGATTATATGCTGGCTAAGGATAAAGCACTTGTTCCTTGTGGAAACGATAGCAACTGAGACCAAAACTAGATTTGCTTTCATTTTTTCTAGATGACTTTTGGCTGCTTCCCCAAAGCAAATATTACTCAAAAGACAAAGATTTACCATCACTAAACATATTTAAATACTTGCTCCAGTGGAAGTAAATGTGTAGAAGAAAGAACACTAACTGCTCTTAGAAAGAAAATCTAAGACAAGTGGCATGGCTCTCCCATTCAGATCAGAAGTCAGGAGTTTGAGATCACAGTACTAGCTGAAGACACAATCTAGTTCAGAACTCTGATCTTTCTTTCCAAGGACATATGCAACTGACTATCAGAGAGCTATGAATACAACCCAGTACAGAATCATAAATGGACTTGAAATCTTTTTTTTTGCTCATCAGTTTTCATTAGTATTTGTGTATTTAATGTGTGGCCCAAGACAACTCTTCTTCTTCTAGTGTGGCCCAGAGATGCCAAAAGGTTGGACACCCCTGGAAGCCTTAGGACATAAACTTAAGGCAAATAAAAATTATTTTATGTTTGCAAATTATAGCACACATGTTAAAGACAGCAGATATGCTAACTCTAGTCATTTTATTCCTCTTCTTACCCTTTCCAATGGCCACCACTGTCTTCCCCATCAATGAATTAGGCCACAGACAGTGCCCATGTTGTCTATATAGAATGGTTAACCAGTGCATTTTTTTCCCATGCACTGGGAGAAAAAAGGGTTTTAAAGTTGGCCATCCTGTGCATGTTCATTGTGAGACATTGAAACAACATGGAATTGTACAGTGCAAAAATGAAAAAATCTCCTGTTGCCATTCCCAGAAGCCACCATTGTTATGTGTGGGGATACACACATATAGTGATATCAGAAGAAAAAAGCTCAAACGTGATTTTTTCCAGTAAGAAGGTTGCTATGGCCAGCTTGATTTGGAATGCTGAGGGAAATCTCAAACAAATGAGTTTTTACTTGTAGTGAATTTACTGTTATCAAGCTCTCCTAACACCCAGGGAGAAGAAGAGAAAGTTCAAGTACTAATAAACCTGTGAGTTGACTTTCTGGTTACACACTTAAATATCTTCTACATGATTTCATTGTTAAAGATGCTTGTGAAGCCGGGTTTAGGTTAGTTATGTATCATAGTTAATCAGTGTGTCATAATTAAAATGATGACAAGTCAGATGGAGGGAAAATGGCATCAGGGTAGGAGGGAGCAGATTCAGCTTCCCCCTACACATGGGAGAGAATCATGGCCGATCTACAGAGTGGAGGAGCAACCAACCAACATACCTCAGCATATGTGAAAATAGGGGGCCAAGGATTGTGGCCAAACCGAAAAACAAGTTGGTGAGAGGAGTGCTGCAACACAGTAGGGTACCAAGGACCAGCACAGGGTGGCGGGGGTGCTGCAGAGAGCCGGGACAACTGCTCCCTCCCCAGCTGAACAGGGTCTGAGTGGCACCGAGAGGAACCCAGTTGCTAGCAAACACACCAGGGCTGTGAGCACCCTCAGAATCTGTGGACACTGGTGGGGTTGGGTTGCCCAACGGGCGCTGACCCCCACAGTCACTGGTCTGGCTGGAGAGTTGGGCTGAGGAAAAAGCCAGGCTGAGCGGGCAGGCTTGAATAGAAGGAATTTCTCAAGAGGAAGGAGTGAAAAGACAGACACTGTTTGGGGAATTCTCCTACAGCAATCGCCGGCCTCCCTGCCACCCAGCCAGGCAGCGATCCCGAGTTTGCACAGAGGGTTGTGCTTGTGTGGAGGACCCTGAGCACCCCCATAGTGCTGGGAAGAGTGAGGCATCTGCCAAGGGTGCGCATGCAGGAGAGCACCACCACACCCCAGTCCACAGCAGTAACCCTGCAGAAAGACCGGATTCCCACACCCAGGGCGCAGGGCCCAGGAGCCACAATAGCTCCCCAGACAGTGTGCACCACTTACTTAGTGCAGATTCCGAAGGAAGAAAAGCCATACCAATCACCCCTCAGCCTGCTGCAGCCAGCAATATCAGAAAAAGTGGTTTGGCCACTTTGAAACCAAGAGACTTTTTAATTTTATTCTATTTTTAAAAACAATTGTTAATTTTTTAATTTTTATTATTTTTATTCTCTTTTAATTTCTTTTTCCTTTCTTTCCTGCTTTCTTGTTTTATTCTCTCCTCCTTTCTTTCCTCCAGTTTTATCTCTTCTTCCTTCCTTCGCCTGCCTTTTTTATTTTTAATTTTTAAATACCTACAAGTAAGACAACCTGAATCTGTGAAAAGACCAGAGTTGAACCCAAAGAAGGGGAATCACAACAGCTGCGACAGTGAGACAAATTTCAGTTTGCTATTAGAAAACCTGCAAGTTATTACATATTTGTATTATTATTTTTCTATTATTCTTACATGTTTGTAAATAGTATTTTTGTATTCCTCTTTTTTTCTGTATAGCATGCATTGCTAGGCTGGTATATTGTATCACTTGCCATGTTTCCCCTGATATCTCTTTCACAGTGTATTGTTAATGTACTGTCCTTCACCTTACCTGTGTCCCATTAGCACACTACTCAAGGTTCTGCACTCCCTATTCTTGTTATCTAGATCTCATAGATTCTGTCATATGATTGTTGCCCTAATATTATTAATTGTAAATTGTTTGCTGTTCCATGCAATTGTAAATAATTCACAACACCCCTCCCAGATCTTAGCCCACTTCAAAATTTCCAGAACTCTACTACTGTAGTGGTTAACTCTATTCTCTCACACACTACATCTATTTACTATCCTTTACTCTCACCTTACCTCAGAATCTCACCTCCCACAACCTCGCTGCTCTCTAGATCCAA